GCAGGAGCGCCCAGCAAGAGCGCGTCTTTTTTCACCTGGGCCCGAATCAACGTTATCTATTTTTTCAGCGTCTACGCACCACCAAGACTCGCTGATGCGGAATTTTCCACTCTCCTCACCAACATCATCGAGGAAACCTAACGCAAGAGGCCGCTCATCGTCGCGGGTGATTTCAACGCCTGATTGATTGATTGATTGATTGATTGATTGATTGATTGATTGATCGAACAAATTTATTTTGACCTTGGGGTGCTGCCCTAACTGGCCATGAAGCAAAAATTACATTGGTTTGTTATAGAGATCAATAGTTTTAGAGAATTTCAAGAATTGTAGGATCGATGCGATTTTAGAGCGGTAACAGATTTATAATTTATAAGTTTTATCAAGATATAACAATATAATATATGATTGTGATAACAACATTGTACCAACAGTATATTGAAACGTGAAGAGATTTGCCAGCGGCCTGGGTGACTGACGAGTTATAATGTTTATTGCAAGTATAATGGTATTGTAGTCTCGTTGCCTCTGCTCAGACAGCCAACCCAGCGCTAAGCGATAGGGGGTGACATTAGCTCTGTAAGGTATCGTGCCATGAACGATACGAGTGTAATGCACAGAGCTACAGACACGACTGACTTGAGGGTCCCATCCCAAAGTTGGCATGAGTTTCAGACCGAGAATGGTCAACTCAGGCATCATTTGCAACTGCGCATCGCCGACAAACAATGGTGGGAAGGAATCTCTTAGAGCGCTTACATAAAATTGACTGCCACAGAGCATGACACCCGTCTTGCCGGAGTTTCGAGCGATTCCATTATCCTCTGCCCAGGCCACGATAGCAGATATGTCGCTGTTGGTGCGGTCGAGCAGAATGTTCGCGCGAGCAGGGAGGTCAGAGTAGAAAATCTGCGTGTCATGAGCATATATTATGTGCTGGGACGACGACAGCCTAGCAGAGAGATCATTTATGAACACTAAAAAGAGAAGTGGCCTCAATACACTACCTTGAGGAACACCTGCCGTCGTAGTCATCAACGACGAACATGATCCGTCACTCAAGCGAATCGCCTGTGAGCGTCCACATAAATAGCTCGCAAACTAGTCTAGGGCTGATGCAGTGCATCCAATTAGGCGTAGCTTCTTGATGATAAGTGTGTGAGGGAACGAATCAAATGCTTTCGAGAAGTCAAATGATACGACTAACGAAACCTTACGCTTATCGATTGCGTGCCTAATCGTCTCTGTAAGGTCGAGGATCGCCGTCTGGGTGGAATTCTCTGGACGAAAGCCGGACTGGTGGGGATCCAGAAGACCGCAGGAGATGAGATGAAAAAGAAGCTGGCGATGCATAATGCGCTCTAAAACCTTTGCCAGCTCAGGCAACTGAGTGATCGGGCGAGTGTCTGATGGCGTTGAAGATGCGTTATTTTTGCTCAAAGGTGTTATCACCGCTCTTTTCCAAGAAGAGGGAAAATAAGAGAGCTCTGTGGAATTGTTGATGATTGCTGTGAGCTCAGCGATAATGGAGCTTGCTGCCAGTTTTAAAATGTTGGCAGGGATGCTATCGATGCTTGTGTCTTTCGAGTGAAGGGAGGTAATAGCGTTGAGCACCTTGGCCTCAGTTACCGAGTGAAGAGCAAAGACCGGAATGGTGTCGTCGACTGGAAGTGACGCGGCATGACGCACCAACTCCTAAGACAGGGGCATTGCACGACACGAAACAGATACATAGTGGCTGTTTAGCTCGTCAGGTGAGAAGAGAAGCAATGGTGAAAGCTTCGTGTCACGCGAATATCCAAGACCAAGCAGGGCATGCCAACATGCAGATGAGTCCGCAGCAGACGTGCCAATCTTCACACTCAAGAAGCGATTTTTGGCTGAGTCAATCATGTTTCGCACAGCTGACCGAGATTCTCAGTAGAAGGCAATATGCAATTCCGTAGGATGTCGACGGGCACGTCTGTACGCTCTATCACGCGAGCGCAGAGCTGAGCGAAGCTCAGGCGTGATCCTTGGACGAGCTTTTGGCTTGATCGTCACGCTACGCAGAGGCACGAGCACATCAAGGGTTTTGAAGAGGGATGAGGTAGTTTCAGTTACTACTACGTCAAGTGATGTACCATCCCGAACACGGTGTGGATCCACTCGCTGCTGAGATGTCTGCAAGATAACTTGTAAGGGTATGAGTGAAATTAAAGGGAGTGATTCGATCTGTATAACTTACGCGTATTTTTCGTGGAGAAAGAGCAGGAAGAGAAATTGAGTATTCTATTGTAATCATATCATGACCATCGGCAAATGGAGACGTAGATTTGATGAGTTTATTTATCAGAGAGGAGTCTTGAACCGAGAAGAGGTCGAGACAGGTGGTGGACTCCACTGGTTTCAGTGCAGCCAGTTCGGAGAGATTTTTAATGCCAAGCAGGGGCGACGTGGGTGTAGCGCGCATGAAAACCGATGAACCCCTAAGCAGCGGACGCACATAATAAGGCTCCTTTGACTTGGCCAAAGCCGCGCGTCAGAGCTTGTAAAGCGTTGGTGGGAGTATGGGAGATGCAAATATCTTACCCTGGTGCCCGGTGCTTAAAATACTGCCACAAGTGACATTCGCCAATCAGTACGTGCATGACATGACCGCATCTCGAGAAACAGGCAAAGTGAAGCGAGCCACGAGCGATAAATCGGCAGCCGCAGCACCCGATGCAGTCCTTGGCCGAGGGGGCATCCACTGTCGCACCGAGACAATGCGCGAAACAGATTCATTGCACTTAAGTACTTTCAAGATGGAGGCCACCACCTCAGTACTAGCCCTGTCGTCTGGAAAAACCAGTAATCCACCGAAGTGAATCTCGCACATATCCGCATAGTGCTCCGCAGCCTATTTCAGAATGAAGATTTCGGACTTAAGTCGATCTATTTCATTTGCATTTTCATCAATCTTTACACGAGACTCGGCCTGGGTCCTATCGATCTCGTCCATACGCACAGTCAGTGACGCCACCACTTCCTCGACGCGCTTACCGATATTACGCATCTCAAGTCGCGACTCCCTTTGCTCCTCCAACAATTTCTGCATCATGGCTTCAAGGGACGATATTTGGTCCGGGGACGACATTATGTGTGGGCGGTGAGTCGTTTTGTGCGGATGCTCAGTGGATGAATCAGGTGGCGACGGGAGTGGACGCTTTGATGCGCCTTTTGAAATTGCTGCTATCGGCGAGAGCTCGGCAGGCAATGACGAGCTCAGCTGACCGGCAGAGAGCGTACCGGCAGGATCTTCCTGTGATGACGCAGAAGCTCGCACGGCACAGTGGCAGCAAACGTACTGAACAGCCGGGGGCGAGGAAGGGAAACAGGAGAGATGGGAGAGCGACTTGCAGACAGAGCAACACACAGACGACTCACCTCTTGTTATTGTTTGGTGGCACTGCGTACAGGTGTTGCGCACGCGCCTGTCGAGCATTTGGAGTATATGTTGAAAACTTGCGTTTGTTTACGTTGGCGATATCGAGACGACGACGATGACGATATCGCTTTCTTGATGCGCAAGCTGGATTAAATGATGTGCGCAAGACTCTCGAGAAATTGATGAGAAAACTAACCTCGTATGCCAATTTGCCGATGAAAAACTTGATAATGTCTGGTTGCGAAGGGAACTGCAGCGTCAATGGTTCGGTGCAGTCGACCCTTGCAATTTTAGCACGCAAGTATCTGAAAGTAAAAACACCCAAAGGCAGGCGAAAGCAGTACAAAAAGCAATATTTTGGAGAGCGAGAAAATTTGAGCGCAGCCTAACTTAGGTAGCAGAAGAGATGGTCAACGGAGTTGGGATACCGTGAAACAAGACAACGCGCCACCGTTCTCCTTGAAGCGTTTGCCACCCTTGAAGGCGTACTTCTAAATGCCGGAGACACACCAACATTCACCGGTCCACTGGGCTACTCGGTTATCGATCCCACCTTCACCAGCGACACACTCGCTTCCCAAATTGCATCATGGACCGTCGTGCTCTATACGCACAGCGACCACCAGGCCATTGTGTTTGAGATAAAGACCGCCAGACCGCCAGACCGCGTAGACCTAGTGGAATGCACGCGCTCTCGACTCAGAGTGCCTGTCAGTCATGATGGCCGGGAACCGCGCTTTCTCCCGGGCCTTCAACAAGTTCTTCAAGAAGCAATCGAGCCGGAAAACATCTAAGGGCTCATGCTCGAGATCGCAGGCAATTGGTTGGAGGTATCGTCTTTCGCGCACCAGTCGTCGTTAGACTGAAGCAAGAGGTGAAAGAGATGTTAAAATGATCCAGACGATGCTGTAAGAAGAAGACGCTTTTGGTTCCCAAACCCCTAATCACCGTAAGGGTGGACGGGGATGTACGGAAAAGACACAGATGAAGCAGAGAAGCTCTACAGAGTCCCCACTGAAGTAATGTTTAACGACGGTTTCCGGTGAGGTACTTGCTTTGAAGGGCCACTGGCTGCAGAGTTTACTCTGTCCACGTCAAAAAAAAAAAAAAAAAAACACACACACAATCTGCACGAGCGAGCATGATGACGCAATCGTACAACACGGCCAAGCGATCGTTCATCTGCTAAAAATTAACATCTAACTTTTTCGCAGGCTCTTAGTACTTTTTGAATGAAAATGTTTATAACTTCACCAATTTTGCTTGGATTAAAATGAAATTATGAAACCATATTTTTGACGGCTTATAAAATCAAAAAGAACAATAACATAAAAATTAAAAATTTGGTAGAAAAATACTATATCTCTCCCCTCCCCTTTCTTCAAAATTTGATAAATCAGAGATTAATATTGAATTAAAGGGGTAATCGATTATCAATACGATTTGGTAGTTACTTATTAACAATTCTACTTTACACCCACGCAGACAACGACTACAAAATTTTAATACTTTATTTATAAGTAAAAAAGTTTATGTAAAACCTGCCTTGAAAATATGTAGAATATTAATTTAACCAACATTATTTTCAAAGGTAGAAATGACTGGATTAACTGGCACAATAAAATTTGATAATCAAGGTTTTCGATCGGACTTCACTTTAGAAATTATGGAATTAAATACAAAAAATGGTTTGGAAGAAATAGGTTCATGGAACAGTTCTTTTGGAATAAATTTTACTAGAAGTTTTCGAGAAGTTTATACACAAATGATTGACAGTTTACAGAATAAATCATTTATTGTTACTACAATACTTGTAAGTAAAAATTTTTTTTTATTCAATATTTCAAATGTTGAAGCTATTTATTTTGTTATTCTTAAGTCATTCAAAAAAATAGTTCTATTCCATGTTTTTTTCTATCTACCGTGTTCTACCGAAAATAAGCTGTACCCCAAAAATAAAACGTATTCCATTTTTCGGGTCTCGAAAGAATATAAGGCATGATCCATTCCAAAAAATAGAGCGTACTTGTTAACATAATTTCTGATTAATATGTTAACAAGTTTAGTGGTAATTGAGCCAGCACAGAAATGGAATCAAGTGTGAAGTCAAGAAAGTCGTATACCTATGGTTTTAAAAAGAAAATCGTTCAAGAGTCAGAAGGAAAAAATCTTGTTGCGTTGTGTAAAGAAGTTTAGCAATCAGGGCAGAGTATGGTCATGGCGATAAGTATAAAGGTGGCTCAGGCCGGAAGTGTCTTTATTCAAAGGTTGAAGATTGCCAGTTTGAATGGATTTTAAATCGAAGAATAAATTGTTTGGTTATGACAAGGGCTGATATATCCGAATTTGCTCTGCACATTGCACAAGATTATGATGCTGTTTTGTTTCGAGCCTCGGATAAATGGTTTCACAATTTCTTCAATCCTTACTATCTTTTGTTACGGAGATCTACTACATTATTCGAGCTGGAAGACTCAGAAGTCATTAAACGAGTGCTTTCTTTTAAAATGTACGTTGCGATATCTTTTTCTGATTACGATCTAAGTCATATGGTGGCCATGGATGAGACTGCTGTTTTCATGGGTCAATAATCGCAGGTAACAGTTGACTTGAAAAATACATCTTCAATTCTCGCAAGCACGTCTCGACCTGGCAGGACTTGAGTGACCCTCCCGAATGACCACTTTCCGCTGGTGTGGATCAGAGAGGGGTCAACGACCACCACTATGTCGCCGACATGAATCTCGTTCTTCCGTCGCTTCCACTTCGATCGTTGCTGCAAGGTGTTGAGGTACTCTCGACTCCACTTTCTTCAAAAAACGGCTTGCAAGCTGCGAGCGAGCGTCCAATGGGTCAGAGAGTTGAGACGATCAGCAGCAGGTTCGAGTCGAGGCACGGTCATCAATGGGCCGCGCACCAGGAAGTGTCCGGGGGTTAGGACCGTTAAGTCGTCTGGATCACCTGTAACTGGGCCGAAGGGTCGACTGTTTAGCACCGCTTCGATGCTAACCAGGACGTTGCAAAACTCCTCATAGGTAAGTCGTCGTGGTCCTAGAGTGCGCTTCAGCGCTCCCAAAGCCCTCCAAAGTGCGGAGCCTGAGAACGGATGAATCTCCATGAGGTGCCGATGGCTGCGAGTCGATCAGAAATCTTCGTTCATTGAATACGCTCACTGTTGAGGGCTTTTCTCAGCTCCAGGTCGACGCGATGCACAGTGGGCCGAAACGTCAGAAAAACGCTCGAAAATCATGTGCAAGCGTATATAAATTAAAACATGGATATGGCGATGTTTTCTTGCAGGTGTGGGTACCCTTTATCGTAATCCATGTCCCTATCCAGTCCGGGGCCCCCCAATTGCATTGTTGCATTCGAAAAGTGCATTTCGAAAGTGCATTTCAATTATCAAAAATATGAAAATTGTTAAGTAAGGGTACAAATCAACCCAGAACTGTTACTCGGGGGTTTTCGAGGTCGGAGAACACGAATATCGGGTTTTCGAGAGCCTAGGACGCACCTGGTGCTATCTCCGGGTGATGAGAACGTCTTCTTCAGGACCAACTTGCCGGATCCCTATAAGAAAGCCCAGAAGCAGTTGCTCGGGGGGTTTTCGAGGTCGGAGAACACGATTATCGGGTTTTCGAGAGCCTAGGATGCACCTGGTGCTATCTCCGGGTGACGAGAACGTCTTCTTCAGGACCAACTTGCCGGATCCCCATAAGAAAGCCCAAAAGTAGTTGCTCGGGGGGTTTTCGAGGTCGGAGAACACGATTATCGGGTTTTCGAGAGCCTAGGATGCACCTGGTGCTATCTCCGGGTGATGAGAACGTCTTCTTCAGGACCAACTTGCCGGATCCCCATAAGAAAGGCCAGAAGCAGTTTTTCGGGGGGTTTTCGAGATTGCAGAGTATGTTTCAAATTAATGAAGAACTATTTTTGAAACCGTGAAGGTATATTGGAGTATCATATCACGACAGGTGCATTTATAAAATGAAAAACTTAAGTTTTTTTGGGAAAAGCCTTATGTCAGCATAAAAACCCAAGTGAACAAAATTTGTATTTTTTAATATCTATTTGATAAATTATAATTATGTCTAATCATCCTCTTCACTTTCACTCTCCTCTGAAGATATATACTGATCCTCAAAATGTTCATTACTGCTGTTCGCTAACAGCAAATTTTGCATTTCCTCTGTATACTGATACTTATTTTTTTTTTCTTTCAAATTTCTACACATTGATACAAGAGGATCTGAACACAGCAGTAATCGGTGAAACACATCAGTATTTGTATGAATCCTGAAAATAAAAAAATATCACTCGTACAGTCGTTACATTAATGTTTGAATAATATTAGTTGCATAATTGTATAGTAATTATGCATAGCATTTATTGCTTGAAATAGGGTATAATATAATCAATTTTATTGATGAAGACGTGCTGCAGTACTAGATTAATGACTAATGAATGTAAAATTTTTATATACACCTTCTAAAATTGATGCAGAATATTTTATTACCTGGTATCTTTTCGGCTATATTTATCTCGAAAACGTTTGACGTTTTTGTGATTGGCTTCCTGTGCCTCTTCGGATAAAATGCCTATCGGTAATGGAAGACTCTCGATTATTTGGTATCCATGAATTAGAACTATATGAACTGATGGAGGCATTTTATACCACAAATATTCTTTAACATATAATCTCGCAGTGTCCAAACAGTATACTCTGAAAGCATCGACATTTGTGCTCATGGATGAAGAAATCACAGTCAGAATAACTTTGAATCGGTCCAGTAATTTTTTGTTGAATCCTATTATATTGCGTTGTTTCATTAAATCAGTAATTAAGGGTATTTTGAATTTAAAATGAAAAGATGTGATTTAAAATAGAGAACTGCAAAAGTAGACATTAAAAAATGTAATATTACCTGTAACTTTAGCCACAGTATCAATATCATTGAAAAACTTTCTGGCTGTGTTTCCATCATTAGTATTTCCTGAACCTGGGGTCGGTTTATCCACGATAATTCCTAATAACTTTTTCAATTTATTTTGAATTTCCGTTTTTTTTGCTTTCACAGCAATTTTGTCTTTATCTTCCCTTACCTTACAAAATTAATAACATTTTTAAAATAACAATTGCATTAAGTTATTGAATTATTTCAATCATTGAAATACAAACAATTCGATCATTAAACATATTGATCATGTTACAAATATCTGAGGCTGATAAATGATTAAAAATAAGTTAAAAAAATGGTTTATCTTAATATTTCCAAAAAAAGTTTAGAAAATAATATTTTACAAAAAAATCATTGAGCGACTAACTGTCAAGAATAAAGTAAACCATTAAATGTTGAAAAAATAATTAAAAATGACTGAAATAGTTGTAACACAACCCATGATAATTTTAAAGAAAATAAACATGTAGAAATGTATTTAACGTACTTCATACGCATCGATACCCGATCGATATGACACATGCAAGACTAATTCCATGAATTTTATGTGTGCATGCAAAACTGGTAAACCAAATTTTAAAGTTTTTTTTTTCACTTCTTTCTTTAATAAAGAGTCTATATCGTTCATCTCGGATGGTTTAGCTTTGCATATGAAGCAGTTTCGGCTCGCAGGACATTTATTCAAAGCATTAAGGACCTATAAATTAAGGAGCATATTACAATTCATTCGAAGAACTATATTAGATAGAACGTCGAAGGCTCAGTATAACAGGCCTGTATGTGGTATATTTATATCCACACAACTTGACTGCCTCGTTAATGAGAGCCGTTTGAACGCCTTGTAGCCACCTAGCGACAAGAGCGCAAACAATTATAGATAATGAATCAAAGAATCATAAACAGAGACCTGCATTTTGCAAAAATACATGAACAAAAAAGAAGACTTACTTTTCCGTCTAGCATTGTCGACATCATTCTACATGTCACTGTACAACCAGGTATATTTGTTTCTTTATAATTACGCCATTGCTGCTCCATTGATTTTCTGGTATCAAGGCAAAGTTCCGTTGTTTCTTTTTTAAATAAAAGTTGTACAATGCGACAAAATCGTGTTGAATTCGGTTTTTTGTTAGTCCAAAGGATTTTAGAAGAATCCAATTCGATCAGCATGAGAGGTACCATCGAAACACAAAATACATATTCACTGGTGTTCATGCTGTCATTCAAGTTATTTTTTTGTTTGTACGCTTTTGCGTTTGTTCCATCAAAACCATACTTGCCAATTAATCGAAGTTTTACGTTGGCTGTTGCCGGATATGAAATATTCAAATACTTCATTAAGCGGACAACAGTGTGGGATATAAGATTTTTTAAGGGAACTTCACATGTAGACTCGGTTATATTGATACCATCTGGATAAGTTTCCTTTTTGGCATTACTTACCTACAATTAAAAAATTTACAGTTAATTATAACACATATTGCATTGAAAAGTAAAAATAAATTGCCAAAAAAGTTAATTGAAGTTCAAATACTGCAGATTGTTTGAATTTTACTATCATACTACTTTAGAAAGCATTGACAATCATTGTTAATTTTGAGGGATAATTTTTTAAATTAATTGAATGGTTTAAAACTCAGTAGGAATTTGTCAAGATATGTTTCAATTATAAGTTAACGATTTGACAATATCTAAATTTTCGAGTAAACTTAGCGTTTTAAGTCTAACTTTTATACTTATACATTTTTAGGCCTGGCAACATTCAAGTTTACATACAGTGAGATATGTACATAAGAATTGGTAAATGAAAATAATCGGAAAGTTGTTTCGAGCATCGAAAGGGTGGGGCTTGGAC